TATTCTTTCTTTCCTTTTATGTGAACAGTGAGGTACGTCCAGAATATAAAAAAATTATGAGGAATCATAGAATGAACTTCCAGGTGCCCATTATACAGCCAAGTCAAATTTTAACATTTTCCTTATTTGCCTGAGCACTTTCCTTAGAATGTTTTTACACAATTAAAATATTTCAGATGCAGATGAAATCCCTGGCACCACCTCCCCCAATCCCACTGCCCATCATCCTTCCCTTCAAGTAACCACTACCATGAATTTGGTGTTTATCATCCCATGCGTGTTTTTATAGCTTGAGAATATATGTATGCATTCCTAAACAAAATATACATAAACAAACATTTTAACCTTTTATAAAAAGTAGCACCATATTGCATATCGCCTTCTGCAATTTGCTTTTTTTACTTAACGTTGTATTTTTAAGATTTATCCATTTTGAGAATGTTACTGAGCCATAAAAAAGAATGAAATCTTGCCATTTGCAACAACACGGATGGATCTAAAGGGTATAATGCTAAGTGAAAGAAGGCAAAGAAAACAAATACCATATGATTTCATTCATACCTGGAATTTAAGAAACAAAACAAGCAAGCGAAGAAAAAAAGACAAACTTAAAAACAAACTCTTAACTACAGAGAACAAACTGATGGTAACAGAGGGGACATGGGTGGGGGGATGAGTGAAATAGGTGAAGGGGATTAAGAGTACACTTGCCATGATGAACACTGAGTAATGTACAGAATTGCTGAATCACTATATTGTACACCTGAAACTAATGTAACACTATATGTTAATTATGCTGGAATTAAAAATAGATAGGCGATAGATAGATAGATAGATAGATAGATAAATGATTTACCCATTTTTGCTGCATTCACCATCAATCTTCATTTGTTTTAATTTAGACCCGGAGCTCAGTTTTCTCTGATTTTGTTTTCACTGGGCTATTTGGCCATACAGAAGTTTACTATTTAGTGGAGAGAATGAGAGATTGCAAACGATTTTTGAAACAGCAATGATTTCAATCCTATCTGCTTACCATGGAAAAATGGATTAAGAAAAATAGTCTGTTTTCAGACTTTCTCATATAGTTTCTAAAGATGACCTGGGCTATTCAAGTAATTAATACCCCCAAAGTTTTTCGATATGTTATGAACACCAGTAAGCCATCACTGAGCTGCTGGGCTGCAAAATAAAGTAGAGAGGTCTTGTCCTAGGAGTTAGTGGTCTTACAGTCTTGTCCTGACTCGACTAACTTTGGCAATTTATCTAACTCCTCTGGGGTCTCATTCTTCTCATCTATAAAATGAATCTGTTGGATCAGGTCCTCTTGCTAATTTCAATGATCTCTGAAAGAGTTAAATAAAAATTATGAAGACTTAACATTTATTTTAAATCATATGCTTTCATAGAATTTTGTTTTCTGTCTGAAATAAAATTTTATTATAGCACTTTGAGAAGGAAACTGCATAATGTATGAATACCCATTTTTTAGGACATAGAGTATATTTAGCTATTTAAATTAGTATGTAGGTGTATAGTTATAGCTTTGCCTTCCTTGCACACCTTGTTCACGTCTATAATCTATTTAGTCCTTCTGAGTCCTTGATGATAGGACCCCAATTATTGACATTGCTCTTGTGGAGAAATAGGATTCACTTCCACGATCCATTCCCTGATGCAAATCCAGGAGCACATTGTCAGCAAATTGTAAGGACTGCAGATGGGAATGTATGATATTAGAGTCACCTGCGGATTATTTGGCAGTTTCAGTTACTATTCCTGGACCCTTCAAACACAAGAGTGAGGCTCTTTTATTAAAGCTGCAACCTGCAGAATCCTCCTTCAATTCTTTATTAGAAAAATAGAATAAGTCATTTTAGAGGGTTTTTGAATTCCTAATTGCAGATATAAATAGCTATCAGGCTGGAAAATACCTGAGCATAATCAAAAATATAATCTCACTTACAACACTGGAAGCTTTATAATAACACAAAAGTGCCCCTCCTTCTATCGCCCTCATCCTCCCACTTTTACCAACTTCTGTCCACAATTTCAAGAGAGATATTAGAAAATCCTTTTAAATCACCCAGGTGCCTGGGTGGCTCTGTTGGTTGAGCATCTGACTCTTTATTTCGGCTCAGGTCATGATCCCAGGGGCGTGGGATTGAGCCTTGTAGCCAACTCTACGCTGAGTGGAGCCTATTCAAGATTCTCTCTCTCTCTCTCTCTCTCTCTCTCTCTCTCTCTCTCTCTCTCTCTC